CATCTCAAGGCTTATCTGGATGTCAGGAGGGTGGGACCAGACTGACACTGGGTGTCAGTGGTGCCCAGTGACAGGACAAGGGGCAATGGGCACCAACTGGAACCCAGGAGGTTCCACCTGAGCAGGAGGAGAAACTTGTTTCTGGTGAGGGTGGCTGAGCCTGGAGCAGCTGCCCAGAGAGGCTGTGGAGTCTCCTGCTCTGGAGAGATCCCAAACCCTCCTGGATGTGACCCTGGGCACCCTGCTGTGGGTGAGCTGCTGGAGCAGAGGGTTGGATGAGATGATCTCCAGAGGTCCCTTCCAACCCCACCATGATGGGGTTCTGATTTCCTTTTTTTTTTTTAATTATTCATAAAAGACATCAGATTCTACTGCTGGAACAACAGAGAATTAACACATAGCACCAGGCTTTGCACTTTGATACTAGTTTCTGGATATGCTTCTTTCTTTTTCTTTTTTTTTTAATTGTATATTCCTATCCCTCTAAAAATGCATCTCCTAAATGATTCAATTTTAATGTCATATTTAAAGCTCTCACCATCTCTGTTCTAGGTCATTGTCTTTCCTTCAAACATGACAAAATTTCCTTACAGCAACGTGCCTGAAGCAAACTCCAAACACAGTGTCCTGAACTCTGAGTCTTCCCTGTTACGAGCTGGATTAGGTGAGAAGTTCAACCTGGATTTTGTGGCAGCACCTGGCCTCTCCTCAGAAGCTACCACTCTGTCCTAATTCAGCTCAGATTTCGTGGCAGCACCTGGCCCTTACCCAGAAGCTACTGCTCTGTCCTAACGTCCACTAGGTCAGGAGATCCAGCTCCAAAAATAGCACGCTGTAGCTAGGTGGGGGAGTTCCAGAAGTAAATGATTACTGGGAGAAGAAATAGGTCACTTTTCTCCCATTTCTCAGACATGGTCTGGAGGGCAGGTGGCACATGTCTGGCAGTGTGCCTTTGAAAGTGGATTTTACTGAAAAAAACCCAAATGTAGGAGGTGGAACCCACAGTAATGTTCATGCAGCGTAACTCCTGGTACTTCCTCCAGCCTCTGTGGACCTCTGAAGGGATGCTCTGCCCAAACTCCACAACATGAGGGAAGTCTGGACTGTATGTCCCCAGGAGCAGTTGTCCTCTTGTAACTGGACTCCTGTGTTGGGCATTTGGCTCTAGAGCTGGCCATAGCTGTGTACCTTGAGCCAGGAGCTAGTCCAAGTCAGCAGCATTCAGCTGGGCAAAGAAGTTTTCCTGTGGAAAGCCACTGTTGGGTGGGTGGCCCAACTTCATGCACTGGTTCTGGAGACCCTTCTTCAGCTCTGCAGCTGGGCTTTGTGCCTGTGGCCGTGCTGTGGGAGGCTAAGGTGGCTGGAGTTGGTGGCATTAGTGGTCCATTCCTGTAAAATACAAAAAGGGGGGTTTTTAAAAGGGCTTAAAATGTGCTAGATTAATGTTTTAGCTAGTTAAGTGCCAGAAAATGTGTTGATCAATTTGGCAACTCTGCCTTATGTCTCTCAGAAGCTCAAGTGCTCACGCACTGTGACTTGCCACCCTTCTGGAGGGACATTTTTATGAACAGCTGATGTGGAAGAGCCGTCAGTTTTACACCCCTCTATAGGACAGACTTGGATGTGTGCACAGATATGGGGAAACCTGAGGTTGTTTCCTTTTGTCCTATCCATGTCCTTGTCCCATCGTGAAGCTGCTCCAAGAGATGAGCAAAATGAGAACCATTTTTATGTTCCTTGCTGGTTTGAACCATAATTTGGGAAAAAAAAAACATCTAGGTGAAATTAATAGGGGGGAAAAAAAACCCTCAAAGATCTGCCTGGATTCTCTCTCATTAACAAACTCAAAATTAAGCTGAAATGCTGTTTCACAGAGGGAGGTCCTACAGTTTTTACCAAGTATGGTGTTAGATCAGATGTTTGGGTTACACCCCCCAGGTCACATCAGGCCCTCCAAAGGAACAGCAAGGGGCACCTTCTCCACCCCCAGCCACCCCACCACATCAAAGTCCCAGCTGCAACATGGGCCTTTGAAGTCACTTCCCTTCACCATTTCCCCCTAACCCCACCAGAATGTGTGCTGCCCCCTCACTACACCCCAGCTGTATGAAGGGGAAAGGACCAGGCACCCAGGAACAGGGTCACCAGCTCTCAAGATACAGACATGGGTATCCTGCCAGCATCTTCCCATGGAGGAAGCTCTAGTTCCCAATCTGGGACTCATCATCTCCACAGATGTCATGGTGTAAGAGGAGGCTCAGGGGAGACCTTCTGGCTCTCCACAGCTCCCTGACAGGAGCCTGGAGCCAGGTGGGGGTCAGGCTCTGCTCCCCCAAGGAACACAAGAAGAAAAAACCTCAAGTTGTGCCAGGGGAGGTTTAGGTGGGACACAAGGAACAATTTCTTCCCTGGAAGGGTTGGCTAGGGCAGTGGTGGAGTCCCCATCCCTGGAGGGGTTTCCAAGCCGTGGAGATGTGGTGTGAGGGACACGGGGCAGTGGGGACCTGGCAGGGATGGGGGAAGGGTTGGACTTTTATTAAAGGTCTCTCCCAACCACAGCTGCCCTATGACTCTGTTAAACTGGACTCTGGTGGTACTCACTGGTGCAGCTCTAGGTGTAGTTTTCCCCTGTGTAGCTTGAGACAGGCAGTGTAGGTGTGCCTGTTTTAAGTTCCTGTATTTATGATCCTTGTGGTCATTACTTGAACATGTTCTGAATAAAATACCTGAATCATGCATAAGAAGTTAGGACATTTAAAAGTTTTTTTTTTTTTTTAGAAAAGTTTATTTTCCACAAGGAAGAGCAATAGGAAAAATTAAATTGTTTTCCACATTGTTTTCTTGAAACAGAGTCTACAAGGACATATTCAGCACCAAAACTAAAGACAAAAAAAAAAGTACAAACAGCCATAGAATATAATCTATAAAGCAAACATTTAATATTGCACTTTGTTTCTCTAATGTTTGGATTTTACTTACTTTTCCCTAATTCAGATCAGAATTCTCTATCCAATACTGGGCTAAAACAGTGAACCTCATGTTTTGTAATGCTGAGAATTGACCAATACTCGTGGAAGAGTAATGCCTCCAAAAAACTGACAGTGTGATTTCAACTGAAACGTCTTTATTTGATAAGGTTATAGGATTTTTCACTCTGATCACACAGGCTGTGATGCCGTGTCAATGGTGGTATTGGTCAATCCTGCTTTTAGATGCAATTTTTGTTTATATTGCAGTAAGTACTTTAATGCTTATGTATATCAGCAATTGTTCCCTAGTCTGTTAGAAGTAACAAAAACAGGAAAAAAAAGTAAAACCACCAAATGCCCTTTTACGCCAACGATCCCATCAGCTTTTAAAACTGCCTGGTTGGAGAGGGTAGTGGGAAGGGACATCCACAAAATTGGCCTAATAATGCAAGACATCACCCAAGCTCCTTTTCTCATCCGAATTTCTTGCTCCAAGCCCGAGCCTTTTAACCGAGCCGCTTAAAACGCGACTCGTGTGTGTTTGTGTCACCCTGTTGTCATTTTGGAAACATGAAGGGTCGTTCATGTTCTCTTGAAGGCCACTTATGGAAAAAAAAAAGCCTCTTTTGTCTCATGTATGAAGCCTTAAAAGCAAGGCAGAGGTCTTTACGAACGAGCACCGTGCAGCAACACCAGCCTCCCCTCTCCTCAGTTAACACTGATCTTGCCCAGTTTAATCATACTTCTGCTTTTTTTGTTACTATTTTTACAGTATCATAAACCCTGAAGATAATACAAAGTGCACAAACTGAGCTCTTAGCATAGTCCAAGCTTTTCCTGCAGTTTGAAATATACTTTCCCCTAGAGGCTCATTACATAAAGATTTTTTTTTGGTGATTAGGTAACTATATATAAAAATAAATGTATCTTCCCTTCCCATCCCTACTACTTGAGATACCCACGTCTATGAATCCTAGACAGTGTATGACTATTTCCTTTTAAAGTTTTTTTTCCTTTTAAAGTTCTTCTGGGGCTGAGCTGGTGTCTGCTGGTGTCGCTTTCTCTTGTGCCTTTTCCTTTTTAAAGCTTCACAACTTGAACATCACCTTTGCAACACTGAAATGGGAATGAGGGCGGGTTTCGTTGACTTTTGCGCATGTCCCTGTTCCATATCCCCTTCTCAAAGAACAAAAAAAAAAAACAAAAATACAAACCAAAAGAGAAGTTAACTCAACAGTGCAACGTAACGAAAACAAAATAGCATTCCAACAGTTTGGCAAGTGATGAGTTCACCTGAGATTAAGTGATTTTTTTTTTTTTTTAGGCAGTCTGTAACAAAATGTTGCTTTGCGATAATAGTAGAAAGGCAACAAATTCTTAAAAGAAATCAAGAAGGTATACAATCTTGATGGATTCTATTAGTTTCTTTCTATGAACTCTCCACCCCCCCCCACCCCCAGCCCCACATCTGTTACTTATCTACTACAGTAGGCTGCAAAACATACAGCAAGAAGGATTGGCTTGAAGGCATTTGATGTTTGTAAATAAATCCACGACAGGACCCAAGCTGAGGAGGTGATACATGACCAGCCTACTAGGACAATTCTGAACGTGTGTGCATATGCAGGTAAAATCCAGGCTACATTAAATTAAAAAAAAAAAAGAAAAAAAAAAGTCAGTGCATTTGTCAAAGTCTGTTGCTGTTGGTTGGTTTCTTTTTTTGCCAAAGCTTTTCTTTTGCTCCTTATTGTGCGGACCACAAACAAATAAAGAGGGGGGAGGGTAACAACAGTCCAGCATAAATGAGAGAAAAAAAAGCTGTAGTGACACTGAACCGCACAACGTAAGCCATGAGCATGTGCAAATTTCCAAATCATAGGAGGAAGCTATCCCCTCTCTCACAATGTGGTTTGAGTGTTTGACACACATGACTGTAGGTTAGTAAGGCTGCTCCTAGTATGTGCCAGTATTTAAAGGGAAGGGGGGGGAAGGAAAAAACAACCCAAAGCTCAGGTCTTCAAGCATGTGGAGCAGTCCTACACTGTTACTGTAGGCTTTGAAGCATGATCACAGGTTGTTGTCATTTATTCACCACACAGGCAAGAGCTAAACTGCTTCCTCTGAAAAGTGTGTCTCCACCATGATGCCTTGACCTTCAGCACAGGAGGTACAATTCAGAAACCAAGTCGAGGCAGCTCTTCACAGATCCCTTCAGCGGGAGGGGCAGGATGGTCTGTCCTCTGGGGGCTGGTCTGGGTTTGGGTCGATCTAACCAGAAAGAGGACAGGAAAAAAAACAAGGTGTTTTTAGAGTCAACTGCTCAAAACAAAACCAAAACCCCACCCAAACTGGCAAGTTTAAGGCCATCATAGTGACAAATGGCATTCCCAAAATGAAGGTTTTCTGGTGTTGGGAAACTTGGTGTTGGTTTCAATTCAAGAGGAACTGAGAAGCCTCTTGTCAATCAGACAATTTGAATGAAGCATTAGTCACTAGAGAGTGAAAAATTTTAAACTACAAGTTAACAGTAAACACAAAGAACTAATAAAATCCTTGAAAAACTCCCAAGTAATTTGAGTTTCTTACTGGACACAAAAAAGTCAAGTTCACTCATCACTAAAAATGTAGCTTAGGAAATACTTTAGTTGACTTCAAAAGTTTACTGTTAACTTTGTCTTTTGAAGCATAAAACCCCTCACTCTGCCTTTAATTGATGTAATTAATCCTCAGACACCCCAAGAAATATGTCCTGGAAGTTTATGTTCTGTTAATTTACCTCTTCTTCCTTTCCATAAAAGGAACAAGGGGAAGCACCTGTTAACTTAGGTCTCCAACACTGCCCAGTAAGAAAAGCTTCAGTGGAGAGTACTCAACTTAACCAGGTGACTTAACAATAGTTCAGTCATTCTCATCAGTTAATTTTACACAACCATGTTTTTTGGGGACAAAAAAAGACATCTTTCTAAGTCTTTAAGTACCCAAAATGAGAAGGACTTGAGCTGTACTGTAGGGTTAAGCTACAGAGGAGTCCTCAGAGAAGCCTCCAGCACACAAATGCATGGCCCTTTCTGCCCACTCAACAGCAGACTAGTGTTTCAAAAGGAGGAAAAAAAAAAATGAACAGTGGGTGAATTCAGGCAAGACTTAGCCAAAGGACAGTGTTTTACTTTTGTCCTGTACCACTGCTTTTTCCTGAAAAATATGAACATGGAAAGCTTTTGAAGTTATGTCACAGTTACTGAGTCCCTTTCATGGGACTAAAAATGCTGCCAGAAATGTTGGAGGGTTTGTGAATACACAGCTCTAAGTCAGAAAGGACAGCTTTGTAACTTCTCTACATGGAGCTTCTGACAGCATTCCACACACAGAACCAAAAATGCAGAGAACTCATAGAAAAGAGCTGAAAAACTTTTAACATGTTGTGCATCTATAGACCCAAAATGTTGGTGGTAACTAATGATTCATTATATATGGAATGCAAAGTTTTAATGAAGCTTCCAAGAGTGTTCACAACAGCTTGGGAAGGTGTATGAAGCACTCAGATTGTGAAAAATCCTGACAACTCCACTGGCACCTTGATAAAACAAAGTCACCTGATCATCATGTGCATGATGTCACCTGATTTTTAGGAAGGAGGAACAAATTCCCTGCAGGAATACCACAAGAGAATCAAGAAAAGACAGCGAATGAACCATCATGCTCTGGTGAGAGGTACCTACTTCTGAATAGAGGGGTGGAGGCAGAAAACGAAACTCCTGGATGTATGCAAACAATGGTCCTGGAAGCCCTCGCTCGAAGTCATCACAAACACCTATGGGTGCCAGGCTGGACTGCCTCTGCTCCTCCGTGACCACCTCTGCATAGCTGGGAGGGGCTGCAGGGAAAAGGCACACGCAGTTCGAACAGCCAGTTCTTATGCATGTCAAAATACACAACAGGGTCAATATTAAACTTCTGTCATGGCAAAATGGGACAGCACGTAGGTCAATGATTTTTTTTTCAGTGACTCTTTTAAGGGGTTTCTGAACATGGAAGGGAGGGTAGGATGTTTAATTTTCATTAATTAACCCTTTCCAATATAAGAGCAGACTGACCGCTGCTTATTGTGACTTAATTATCCCCCCTCAAAATTTAAAGCATATCCAAAATACTGAATTTCTCTACAGGCAGGAACACCACAACATTGCATTCCTCTGGGCTTCACAAATCCCAATCAAAAAGTGACATTTATTAGGCATGCCAAGTAAGAGGGAAGGAGATGAGAGTTTCTCTTTTGACAAGGGAGATTTCCCACTGAAATTAACTGCGTGATCTTCTCACAAGAGTAAAGGACACCATAAACTCTAATTAGGAGAGGTTACACCTTATAAATGAGGATGCAGTTGGGTACTGGAGGTAGAATTAACTCTACACAGGTACCATGGCATCCTACACTTCCCCCTGTGCCAGCTTCCAAGCAGCTGGATTTCACTCTGTTCTTCTACAGAGGAAAAGCAGATGGCAAGGAAATATTCATAAGGGATTTCTTGTGGGCTTTATGACAAAGGATGTAATCTGGGTCTTTCCGCACAACAGCAATGAATGAAGCAGACATGAAAGACTAGCAAACTGGTTGGCATTTGTATTGTCTAGTTACCTTCTGGTCTTTCAGGCAGTGTCAGACCAAGCCAATTCATGTTCATGCTACCCTGGCTGCTCACACTTGACGTTCTGCTACCAAATGGGTGTAGAGGAATGGTACCAATGACCAGTGGTAAGTTAAGGAATAAATCCATGGCGCCTGGAATATCAACATACACCTGAAGAACAACAACAAGAGGTGCACAGTTAAAATGCAGGTTGATATGAGCACTTCAGATTTATTAATTTCTTCATTCTGTGCAATTTAGAAACAAAAATGCTAAGTTTCTCATTGTGTGTTTTAAAGCCAAGGCCCTAGGGAGAGAACAAGTCCCCCAAGCTGAAAGCACCTCAGGAGTCTGACCACGAGCCCTGACATGGAGATGCCATCTACTCCTAAGAGGTTTGCTTAGCTGGCACCCCACAACTGTTTTAAGAATGCACATGACTTAAAATGAATTAATTTACAGAACTCCTGTCAGGATACTAATACTAGGGTGTTTTTTTTTTTTAATTTAGCACAGAATGCTTTGTTAGCAACTGCAGTGAATGGTAACTACTCATGCTGAAGTGAAACACACCATCCAACATACCATCAGTGAATACTCCACGCGGATTATACTACAGTCGAGGATTGAAGGGGACACAGGTGGAATTTTCAGCTGTTTGCCATTCCAGGTTTCTGTCTTGCCAGATGACAAGGAATCCCCACGCAGGTTGGCAACAAGCTGCTTGACTTCCTTCATTTTCCCTTTGGCATAAAATGCCTGCGTTTGGTAAATGGCTGCCTTTGGCACCACCACACGGGAAGAGCAGTTCTCAATCTCAGCGAAGATCTGAATTGATTCACCTGGAACAGAACAGCATTTCATGTGCTCTTTATTTAAGAGGCATTTAAGCAAATTACCACGTTCTGTCTGTAGTTATAATGCACTAGGTGCTGCTAGCAGTGCTCCACCCTGAAAAAACCCACTAATACTAACAGGAACAGGATCACTACGAGCTCATCTAAAAGGAAAATGCAGATGTCTAATAGAAGCAGATGTCTTTCAACCATCTAGAGATGGATCTAGAACAACTTAAGATTAGTTTTAGTTAAAGAAATGTCTGCCAAATGCAGACTGAGGTGGCAAGAATAGTTCAAATGTTTCATTTATCTAAAAGCAGCTAAGTACAAACTGTCATTTTAGAAGGGAAGGAAAAACATTTCCTACGATTGCTTCTGTTACGTACCTGGGGTGTAGCCCTTCCTTTCAATTTTGGCACTTAAGGATATTGGGCCTGAGGTACAAAACCAACAACAGAGAGTCTTTTCTTTTGTGCCTGCTTGGGGTGACTGCAAAAAAAAGAACAACATCGCCCATTTAATTTAAGAGTTCCATGAAACTAATTCCAAACATTACTTTCCTAACGTATTTATTACGTATCCTGATAAACACAGCTCGTTTTATGTCAAGGAAACAAAACCTCAAGGAATTTAAACACAGTTTATGCAAGTAATGCTACTCATTAACACCACTTTTTCTGTTACACTTTGTAATTAAAATGGTATTTATACATAAATACTGTGTAGCTTAAGAAAAGGCTTTGCAGCCCACAAATCCCAACCTATGGTGGGCAGAGCTTTTCATTAATTGGTAAATTGGACTATCTGCATTTCAGAAACAGTAACTAAGCTACAGCAGCAAAATCTCAACTCCTGCTATTTCCTCTATTTCAGAATGATCTCATTTTAACTCTACTAAACACATTTCATTATTTCACATGACATCAGGATTCAGGGCTTGATCCAAAGACCATTAAATTCAAATGGAAGTTGTTTGATTTTAATGGAATTTGTGCGAGGTGGATGGTCCCTTTCCAGGTCTGATTTTTAACCCATACACAAAAGAAACCTATTTCAATGGACTTTTGAGGGTTTTTTCCCCCCTTCCATAAGACTAGAATTTGAGGAAGAATTAAAAATACAAGTAGTTTTAGGCCAGATTGAAATGGAATTTGCATTGAAAACAACTGTGATTCTGAAATTATTTTAATGAAATGACATTTCAGAAAAAATTATACAGAATTTTGATCATTTCTCCCCATTGGTTAAAAACTATGGAAATTATCAATTATGCACACCAGTACATTATTTTTTTACTTTGCATTTTTAAGTTAGCAGTCTCTCACTGTGATATGCATTGTAAGTTTTGCTGTTCCTTCCACGGGTTATTCTTTATTCAAAAATCAAAGAGGAACAGTCCTCAAAATTTTCCTTCTTAAGTGACATTCCACAATTTAGCATTATCAATTTAAATTGACAAAAGCCATTTTATGTCTCTTAAAAGCAAAGCAACTCCAAGTGCAGGAAAACATAGCTTTCAAAATACCAGTATTTACAGAGTTGCTGAAATCAAGGGAATACTTAAGATCAGCTACCATTAAACTAGCAGATAAATATTAGGTAAAATTAGATGTGGGTATGGTTTCAGGTATTATACTTTATTTTTATGTCAGAAACAAAGAATGAGTAATTCTGTCAATTCTTACCAGTAATGAAGGAGTGTTGATATCTATATGTTCAAAGACTGTAAATTCCTTCTTTAATTTTACTGGTAGAAACCAAGGCCTATGCAATTCGGCTTTCACCCAATAGCGCACACTGCCATGTCTGCCTTCGAATGAGGTAGCAAGTGGTCTGTGCAGGACACAAAGGTCAACACTGAGTAAAGTCCTTCTCTCTCATCAGGGTACAATCCATCAGATCAGGGATTAGTATGTAAAATGGCATTTATTTTTTTTTTTTATAAATGCACTGTAGTAATTTTAACGCAGCGTAACTTATTTGCAAAGTTTCCCCTATCTCAAGAGGGAAAAAAATAAAAAAAAGATTAAAAAGATGGGAGAAAAAATCATCTCCAATTCATCCTGCTATAGTTTTGTGTGGATTTTAAGAATCAATTGAAGAATTGCACTGGAAAATGTCAGGAGAGTACACATTTCCTTTAAACTCAAGAGGCTGCTTTCAAGTATCGAGCAAAGCATGCCCTTTTAAGGCCAAATTAAGACTACCAACTTAAAACTCCAATTAGTATCAGCCAGTTATTGTTTCAGGCAGCATGTTTTGTAAAACATTGTCTATTGTTTACTTGGCTGGTATCTCAGTGCCAAGATAATTTTAACTGTGACTGAGCACTTTTGTAGTTTATTTTGCCTTAAGCAGTGTTAAGAATTTCAGAGTTCTGAAGTGAGAGGCTATTTTGAGTACCTTCTAATTTTCCTCTAGGCTGCTCAGAACAACTTAAAACATTTATGTTGTACATGGATCTATGTGCAGAACAAGCACATATGCAAAAAATCACCAAGCCTATTCTGCTCTGAATTTTTGACAATCCTTTTTCAGAGCTGGAAGCAAAAAAAAAACTAAGTGGAAAGGATCTCCATACTTTTCAGATTCACCTTTTTTCCCCCTGTAACATCATAAAATGAGAGTCAAAAAGCACCTTTATATTCCAGTCACCCTTATTAGCAGTAACTTTTTTTTTTCTTATTTTTATGCCAGTCATTTAATCACACTGTTTTGATTACATTGCAATACATAAATTACTTGCAAAGCTTCCCTGTCTTTCACAGGAAATACTGACAGCCATGCTAGTACTTTATTAGGATGACTCAAATACATGTTTGACTTCTGTATTTCCACATCTAATGAATTTACTTTTCTCCCTAATAATACAAATGAAATTCTTTCCTCACTGGCTTTCAATGTTTCATCCTGCCCCAAATTCTTTCAGAGCAAAAGTCAGCGAGGGCAGAAACTGTCTTTTCCTTCCACTGTTTCTCTGTAGTTTAAGTAAATTTTTGAAGCATTCTGTGGACACAATATTAAGTAGGCAATGCCAAACTTCAAGCTTCTCATACCAGCATTTATTTTCTGAGTATTATCAACAGCTGGTTCTGTTGTTATTCCTTCAGTTCACTTAACAACCATCTGTGTTTTCACCAATGCTTGTGATATTTTGTGGGCTTATATGCTTCACTTTAAGCTAAGCATTTCAGTATTTGTATGTTTTGTGTTTCATGTATTTCAATGCCTCTTCCAACTCAAAGAAAGATTATTGGCTCTATTTATAGAGCTGAGATTTTCAAGGAATGCTTAATTGTCTTAAAAAAAATCTCCATATATTACAGGCTTTCTCCACTGTTCCAGTAGGATCTGCTGTGAAGTCCTGTGCTGTTCACATCAAAACTGACCTGCCAAAGTGTTTATCATCTGCAGGTTCTGCCAAAACCAACACCTCCAATAAACAGATTGTTTATTAGCTTTAATATCAGGTACTGAGTTATTTCACATAACACACTGCCAATTTTTTTTTTCAGCCTTAATGACTTGACTGCTAGGCTTTTACAGCAGAATGCTCTGTTTTCCATCCATGTCGAGACTCCCTCTGTTTCTGTGCTTTTACAGTTTATTGCAACTCAGATTTTTCAGCTGATTTCCACAGTGCTAACTCCTGCAAGTATAAATCTTCCACTCACAATGTCTACACCATGTATTTCAGACTTCGCGGGTGGTGAGAACAACTTCTATCTTAACAGTTCTGCTCTCACTCCTTAGCTTTCTGAAACAAATTAGGTATGGGAATTTTTCTTGCTTTATCCTCCCATCCTTCTGTGTATTTCCACTCAGGCTGTCCTAACAATTCAGCTGTGATCTCTAGTTTTGCTGGCTTGCATGGCTTCAAGAAACTGCTGGTTGAGGTAGAAGGTATCTCAACCACTTCACAGTACTCTAGTGTGAGTTCAGATTCCTTCCCTTCCTATTGCAAGACCTAATAAATCAGCAGGGCTTTGTCACAAGAAAATGAGCAGCTGGGCAGCAATAAGCTCCTTTTTTTTGTGGAAATTAAAGAAATAAAAGGGAAGTGCGTATCAGTTTAAAAGCAACCTCTTCAGTTTAATGAGATTATGTCCTCCACTGCATGTTGGAGCACAATTCCTACCACCATTGAAAAGGTTTCCCCTCCACCCACAGCAGGAGTTTGGCTCAGGCAGGGGGGGGCAGCAGGGCCCAAGGACTGCGTGTGGGCACTTACGTCTGTGGAAGCTCGAAGCTGAATGCATATTCATGCCTTCCAGAATGGATGGTGTGAAGGCCTTCTTCTGAATTGTCATCATCTGGAAGGGGGGAAAAAAAAGACACAACATGCTATTCCACCTGCACACATTTATACACTGTTCAAGGTTCTCTGCCAGCACAAAAAACGACTGACACGCTCATTACAGCACTTCAGGAGGTGGTGGCCCCAAAACAAAGGTCTCTGTTCCATCTGTGTTAACTCCTGGATGCAAGGACAAATCTCACCTACAGAAGGATAGGTGAGATTGCCAGATTCACCTTAGGGAAGCGAAGGTTAACTTGCTTTAATTTATAACCCTGCCTCTGAAGGCTAACACAGTGGCAACTGCTGCCATTTCAAGGCCAGCCTGCAAGACCTGTAATGGAAATCATGCTTTGCACCATGATTCCTAGTTCCAGTGATAGAGAACACAAGAGTGGCTCTTTAACCAGCATTAAGCTATCTGCACAAAGTCTGCTGTGCAAGATTAAATTTAGTAATTCAGCTGCCTTTTATCTCCTGGCAACAGTGGCCAAAAATTAATCGCCAAAAAAAAAAACCACACACCCAGCAAGGGAGAAAAACCAAGGGTGTAGAAGCACCACCTGGCAAGTACCAGACAAATTCAGGGGCACAGAAAATGGCAAGATGCCAATTAACACTGTCTGGAGTTAAACTTTAATTTTTTTGATACATTGACTCGATCTTGCTTGGACCCAGATCTTTGCCTGTTCCACCTTTGTTTATGGTCACGATTTCTTGTATGCTTATAAACGCTGCAGCAAATTTGCAGTTTATTCCAATTTAATTGCACCACAAAACTAGGAAAAATGCTGATTCGGCCAAAATAGAAAATTGTGAAAAAAAATAACTGAGCACTGAAAGGAAAGGAATAATGAGAAGGACACAATGTGAAAGGCAACCGCTTGTACTGAGTGATCTGAAGCATTAATAGAGGCACAAAAGAGGATTTTAAGTTTTCATTGTTCTACAGAAACGCCGAATATTTTTAAAGAACAACAACAAAAAAAAGCCCCCGATAGCAAGGTATGTAAAGAACAGCGCACGGAGTCCTGAAATAAATACAAGAGAAACGCGTTGAAAAGGGGACACAACGCTCATCAGCGTCTGGGTCGGTTTTTGTTTTATTCTTTTCTTTTTCCTTTATTTGGCGACTTGCTGGTGTTTTTTCGGGGCAGGGGGAGCGCAGCTCCGGGCGGTATTTCCCAGCAGGGCGATCTCCTGCCCACAGCGCAGCTCCCGTCCCGCTCCCCCCCTCCCCGCCCTTTCTGCCAGC